GAGCTGAGTTGCACTGAGGCTGACCTGTGTGTTGTTTCCGAACTGGCACGTGCAGTTCTGGCTTGCTTGCAGGTGTCTGCTGCCCTTTTCTCATTATCTCGCTTGGGATGCATCGGTTGTGGTAGTTGTTCCATCTGCTGTGGGTGTGGCGCATGCCCTGTTTGCACTGGCTCTTCCTGTTGTACTAGGTTTCTCTTTCCCCCTCCCCTCTCCTGGAGTGGTCCCTTCCCTCTTATCTCCCTGTCTCTGTTCTCTCTCTTTTTCAAACCAACAGCTACCTCACCTAACCCTCCTCTACGTACCTGCTTCCCCCCATTCTCCTTCTGTGTATCTACCAGGATTCCTTCTTTGTCATGTAATTTTGCCGATCCTTCTCCCTTGATGCTCCTTGACCCTTTTCGCATCAATCCTAGTATCCCTCCTAGAGTATCAGTTCTGTGCATGGGTTCTGCAGCACCACTGCCACCACTCAAGGTGCCTGCACTTCGATATGATGGCAGTGACGTCTGGCTTGCCTGAGAGGTCGTGTTCCCTCCACCATCGGGAACAGCAGCTTTCCTCAGAACCAACCCAAACGTGCCACCGACTTGTATCCCTTTGTCTTCTTCTTGCCGCGACCCTCTCCTGGGCACCGCATCCGTTACCCTTGTGTCCTCGGAATCTGTCCCCACCCCTGTTGTCCTCATTTCGACATTCGGGGGCAGATACACCCTTCTGGTCTTCTTCAAGTGGGCCTCCATTTCCACCCCATTCCAGGGCCCATTTGATGGAACAGCACCACCATTCGCCTCCTCGCGGATGATGCCGCTTTCCAATGCCCCCCCCCCATGTGCTCTGTCCTTCACAACAGGCACACTCCCTTCGTTTGACTGTTCCATTCCTGCAGCTGGTGCAGGAGGAGGTGGCCGGTCCAACTTGCCAGACGCATGCACCATAACACTGCCAGTGTGAGCTGGCGTCCGAGATACCTGCTGCTCCAGAAACAACCGCTTCCTCTTCAATGCACCCTTTGTCAAGGTGTTCGCCGTTGGGATAGGAGGAATGGCAGCTGGCCGATCCCTTACTTCTCCCTTCGACAACGCTGTCAATCCTCCTCCTGAAGACGGTGTGCCTGTTGAGCTTACCACTCTCTCGGCCACACCTTCTGTATGCAACGAGACTCTCGGCCCTCGGGTGCCCTTCACCTTCGAGCTGGATTGACTTGATGGCACACCCAGCCTCCCAGCCTCCCGTAGCGGCCTGAACCAGCCAACAGACAGATCACAACAAAATGAGACAGGTCATCAACGTGCGTGACAAGAACCATCAAGACGGAGCTGCAATTATGCGCAACACGACTGCAATCAACAGCAGCTAAAGGCATACAGAACAGACGTAACACAAACTAAGCACGGAGTGACCCGCAAAGTTTAATAAACTACCTCTCCATAGACCAGCATACGCATGCACAAGGAACCAAACACTCAGAATGATGTGATAGCTTGGAACGGCAGGCTCGGAACTAGAACCAAGTGGGCTACCAATGGCTCACGGCGACTGCAAGAAAGGCAGGCGAAAAAAACAAGCCAAGTAAAGGGACAAAGTTATGCCATAGTTGTAGCCAAAGGAATGGGACTTCATTACAAGTCGGAGGAAATGGCGTCACCCATCGTCGTTCGCAAAAATGAGAAAAAGCTGCCGACTGATCTATTAGAAGCTGAAGAAGAATGAGAATAGCAGGTTATCAAGCTGAATATTCAGGTATTTACTTTGGAATCTGCGGTATCGCTCGATAGAGTCGATACTTAAAAGTTGCAGTAAGATCAGCATACAGCTGAAAGAAAAAGAAAAGACACTCTTCCATCCCCACCCGCCTGCCCACCCATCTCCCTCCAAGTGACACATACGGACATTTGTTTCAGTTTTACACATTGTGACTTCTCGGATTTCATAATGTTCATAGGAACAAGGAAACGAGTAGAGTACTTGCCAGCAAACAAACAAACATACATTATTATAAATAAATAAATAACGAAAAAAAAAAACAATATATGTAAAAAACAAGCAAAACACACAAAGAGTACCCACATTCCTCCGCCTTGGGGAGCTGTTCCAAAAGCACCCCTTGTATCTTTTCTTTGGGTCTCCCCTTTGTCAGGCCGCACCTCCTGCAATCACCCAAGCACAGCGGTCCACGTTGATGAGCGATAAGCAGTGCCTTGAGACTCTTGTATTCACCCAAAAGCAGGAAGCTTAAACTTTCACAACATACTAATAATAAAGATCCTGAATTAGAAAATCCAATTTTATCCTCATCTCCCCTCCATTAACCGAGAAAGAACCAGACTGTCAAGAAGTTTCAACAGATCCCAGGAGCGTAAACCCCACACCCTCAGTCATGAAAGAACAGATTGCCATTATTCAGGTGCGTAAAACCCCACGCCCTCAGTCCCTCCAACGGGCAGAGAAACGAGAGATGTGAAATGTAAATCACAGGAAAAGCGCATTGAAACAATTGATAAGCCACTCGCCCCACAGGGTGAACTCCTCACTCTCCAATTCCTCTTCGGGAAATTTGGAAAACCACCATCAACGCCCGCTATAGTCAACATACATGCAGTTCGCCACACGAACGCAAAGTGCACAGGTACAGGACACAGCAATCACTCCACTACCGCATACATGCCAGAAATTATCCCCCGCCTCTCATCCCGCTCCCAAGAAGAAGAAAAAAAAAACAAAAAAAAAAACAAAGAATCCCAACCCGCCTCCCCCCCAACCCCCCACCCCAACCCTCCCTCAAAGAAACAAAAAAAACAACAACAAAGAACTTCAAAACAAGGTATGTGATGCAAAACATTATCCAAAGCAATAACATCTGGCTGGGAAGGTGTCGAGAATAGATTTTCTTTTCATTCTTTTGAAAAACGTGACCTTACGGTCACGGCTCCATTCTATTCTGGGGAGCATCAGTCCGGTTCCTTATCCACCGGCAAGTCATTGATACAAACTTCAACAAGTTGTGGCAAACAGCATTGATTGCTTCTCCTTAGAGAAGGATTAACTGTTGCCCGGTTATCTTACATCTATGCAGAAGGATCACACCACACAGTTTCCTGTCTGCAAGATTGTGCATGCCATAACGCCATCTCGTCGGGATGAGCTGCGTGGGAACTCTCAAGTGGGTCTGGCTGCCGAACTCTCGGTGTCGGTCGGACATCCTTCCTCTTGTGCTGTCCTCGGGCTCCTCATGGCGGTACCAATCCCATGGTCTCATATACGTTATCGGAACTCAGTGGGCCCGGTTGCTGAAACCTCGGTGCTGGTCCAGTGTCCTTCCTCTGTGCTGTCCTCCGGCTCCTCATCTAGGTACCCATCTCATAGTCTCACAGGTCCTCCCCGCAAGCAATTGTACTTCTACGCATAACAGACCTGAGAGCCCTTTGTTGACGTTATCCACCTCCGTGGTAACCAACCACATTTCCTCAAAACCGCGTCTGCTATAGTCTCCTTAGCGGTTGTTGCGTCATTGCCCACAGTCTTCTTCAATCTGCTTCCGATTCCTGCCTCGATCAGAGTCCTCTTAGAAATATGCCACACACCTCCGTCGACCGGTAGTTCCTGACCTTCATTCCGCAGCATCTCCTCTCGTTCTCAATTATCCACAATAGCGTCTCCCTGATCCGCTAGAATCTCTCTCCCTCTTTTGAGCTAAGACATGCAATCGGTCGGGTTGCAGATCAGGAGTATTTGTACTGGGTAGGTAGGAGGAAACAGGCTTGTGGATGAGGGAGAGATAATCATAGTTCGGGAGCCTTTAACCAAAAACAGCAAGAGGCATATTTGCAGTCAATCAGGCTGTGCAGTAGATCTGTTGGCAGTCCCTTGTTGTATAGTTTGCATGTATCCGAAGCACTGTGTAGAGACTATCAAGCTCAGGCAGTGTTGTTAGGGTTGGTCTTCCGTCTATACTTCACGAAAAGCCATTCGTTACCAAGAAGCACTCTATAGGCTATCGAGTAATCAACCACCGCAGTGCGCACGCTATCAACCACTGCAGACTAAGTGCGCTGGCCGTGTATCTTGTACACACTGCGAAGTACTTCGCACAACTGTAGACTTCCCACTTCTCCTGACAGTATGACCAGATTCTCTGCAATTTGGGGAGGGTCCTTGGTTTGTAGGCCCAGCTAGCCAGCTATATAACTGATTCCTTACCCGTCCCTCCCGCATCCCGATCGATTGCACATCCGCCCACTGTCAAGAGCCTAACTGCAGATCGTCTAAGGCGCAGTCACGGTAGAAAAGTAACCGTGGTTTTCCTCCCAACACTCTGACATTTCTGAGGTATATCCTTATCCTTGACATGTTTTGATTGTTACAGGGGAAATACTGAGAAGGTCACAGAGTAGTATTCTGAACCTGGGATTCTCCTTGTGACACTGTAAGGCTTCGCTCAGTAAGGGGGTTGGGAAATACTAGCACCCCAGGAGTTGCCTGCTTTCCACTAGAATCATTCCTTTAGTACTAGTGGTATCCACCCCTCTCAAATGCTTTCGGTCACCAGATTAGTCGCTAGTTTGTGATTGTGCGACCTCTAAGCTAGCACCCCAGAAGGTCCCCGATTTCCAAGAAAAAAAAATCATTCCGTTCCAAGTTATATCCGTCCCTCTGGAATGCTTTCGATCATCAGATTAGTGGCTAGATTGTGATGTTGTGCCATAAAGACACAATCTACATGTCCCAAAACCTTATTCACTGTTTTGCTGAATTTCTTTGCATATTTTCTTTTTTTTTTACATTTTGCGTATTTGATATTGTGATATTTTATTACTTTTACTGTGCCGGAGCACTTTTTGGCGCACTGCACGCATGCAGGGCACCGCCACACAGGTGCGCTGCAAGTGCGATTGTCAGACAACAACAAAGACCCCCCCATGTTTGCTTGAACAAAAACTCCTACCAGCGCTACCACTTCAGAAATAGAGCACGGTATTCACGCATTGATCCCCCTCCCCCCTCCCCTTATACACATCTAGATGTGTATAAGAGACAGCACACACACAGAGTTGTAGTCCACTAAACAGGAA